TACAATTGACAAACTCACATAGGTTATGTTTACTACTTAAGAACAGCTGATGAGAGGGGTGTTATGTAAACAAACATGTGTACCAACTGTTGGTGATGAAATATTTCATTTGTTGAAAACTCAATATACATATATATAATATAATGATACTATATCTTGAAAACAAGAGCTAATATATAATTTTTATGGTCACTTTCGGTTTTAACACGTGGAAATACATTAAAATCATCTAATTTCAACCCCGAAACAAAAACTTTGTTGTGTTGTGATAATCTGTGTGCTTCTTATTGGTCCATGTCTTAATCTGGTTTCGTATCAATGATTTTAGTACCCCCAGAGCTGGTTCAGGACCTATATATGAAGTTGATAATTCGCGTCTAGCGCATTCATCAGCTTCATCATTATCTGTGATTCCTGAATGCCCTGGCACCCAGAACAAAGTTCATCCAGTTCTTCATGGCATTCCCGGACCAGTTTCGATGTCACCTTCGGGTTTGTCAGAGCCCTCAGTGTGCTCTTGATGACTAAAAATTTTGATCCGCTTATTTCTTTGAGGTCTCAATTTAATAAACCTTGCGCACTGCAAGATAGCATACACTTCCGCCTGAATGACGGATGTGTATAGTCCTAGCGGATTATACAGTACAAATCCATACTATGATTGAGTTTTTTTCATGACATCTTCATATTCAAGGCCCTTAGCATTTCTCTTATTGAAGATGACTCCGAACACTTGCATAAAACGTGTCTGACAGTTTCATCTTCCTGTTCACAGAGGTAACATAGAGGTGTGTTTGACAGTTGACAGTGGTCAGTCAGAAATCCTACTGTAAGCCTAGGTTTTTCCTGGTCATCGCTAGATATTTCTTTGGCACCATAAACATGGATACTCACTACCTGGCTTGGCGGGGAGCTGCACTTGTTGTTGTGATCTCAAATAAAACTATTCCAACTAAAAGGATCATGAAGATGGTTGTTCCGTTGCTGTGGATCATCGAAGACCTCATTGTTCTGTAACAAAAGGAACGATATTTATGAAGAAACACAGTTTATATCACGAATATAATAAACTTTGTTTGATAGTGGTTTGATAATGTTTTTCGACGAATGTTACAAGTTTAGATTTTCATTGTGTCGTATGGTGGTGATGGATTCGAAATCAATGGAGGAACAAAAATAAAAATGACTTCAATTTTGAATTTATGGAAAATAGTGAGGATGATAATAATCAGACCCAAATATTCGGTAGAGGTAGATGAAACATAAATCAAATTAGTGAAAAAGGGCAGCTAAAAGTGCCCTTGCGAATTTTTGGGCAATAATAAGCTGAAAAGAGGCGAATGCCAAAATTTCGGGAAAAAATTGAACAGCATCAATGTTTGGAGTAGACTAAATATATATCAAAATATAGAGCTACCAAAACATGACACCAAAACAAAAGAAACTTCAAAAAAAACCCAATATCTAATATTGAGTTTTCTGTTGATCTCATTGATGGTGTCTTTAAACTTTTTGCATTCGCGATTCAGCTTAATACCACTGTTGATACATTGTTCTGGTATAGAATCATTAATACTTTGTTTTTGGGCCCTGGTTTCAACTAGAGCAACGATTGTGATAAAATCAAAAATCACAAAATTCCACGTAGTATGGAAAAGCCAAAAGTACTGGCCCCAATAAAGGTCCCACTTAACTACATCATTTGTAATTTATTCGATATATCGCTCTCGAAACCGTTTTGATCCCAGAAGTCTTCGAAAAAGTTGTTCGAAATGAGGAGAAACAGATTTTTCACTTTTCAAAGTGGAATTTCAACCATTATTGAAAACCAAGTTATAAAAAAGAGGATTTTCCGAAAAAGATTCCAATCTGGTTACCAGGAAGTCGTTCCAACTGATTATAATGTGGTTAGATTAAAATATAAATCAATTGAAAAAGTAATTAAAATATAAATACGTTCATCAATGTTGTTCATAAACATATTACAGCAATGATTTTAAATTATTTCATCTTCCATAAATTTTGTTCGTCACGTTCGAAATTTATCGCGATTGATTCTATGCAGTTTCATACTGCATATACATTGAATTTACATATTCATGGAATTGAACTAGTGTGTGAAAGATAGTAATTGAATAATGAGATCATTAACATGAATCCGATTTATTCCACTGCAGCTATGTTATGAACAAAGTACTTATCGCTAAGAAACTGATATATTTTCTTCTCACTACAGAATAGTGTATGCCACATGTCTAAAAACATGCATATTTTCCGGACTTGTTACGTAAATTGATATTGCAGTTAACACATTTACAGATAAATCTCCTTCACTGTAATTGAATAGAATTAGCCGATACTTGATGAAAATCCATATCAAAACTAATTGATACAGTTTATTGTATGGTCAACAATGATTATGATAGTAGTCTAATACACACTTCATTATCAAAAAAGTTATACACTAGAGATATTTTAGATTTTCTGCACAATAAAGGTGTAAATATAGCTTTCAAAACCAACAACAACTTAGGCATGCTCATCAAGAATAACAAAGGTGGAAGTTCAGTTTCAGAAAAATCGGGAGTGTATGAATTATCATGTGGGTCATGTCCGATGTTTTATATAGGTCAAACTGGAAGAACGTTCAAAGCCCGCATGAGGGAACACAAAAATATTTTCCAGAATGGATGAATTAATATGCCACTCATTTAATCACAGAGGGACATGAGTTCAACTATGAATACAAGACCCTTCATTTCCAGAAGAAAGGTTTGAAAGTTAACCTGTTGGAGAGCGGGAAATAATAACTGAATTGAATGATTCGCCATTATTGAATCTGTTCTTTCCCAAGTATAATTAGTTGAGTATATATATATACCATTTGCATTTAAAATAATAGGACAGAGATCTCATCAATTTTTGGGCCCAAAGGTGTTCAATTCCTCACTAGAAGATATACAAAATTGTGAGTATACCAAGAACATGAAAAAAATGCTCGAAAAATTTATTACTAGGCTTCATCGTAAGAACATTGCAAGAATATTCGACCAAAATAACACCCCAAATCCTTTTTATCCCCAACTCACGTGGAATATTTATATTCCACGTGATCTATACATACATTATACATTACAACTTATATTTCCATGTCAAACAAATATTATTTTGTAAATGCTTGATACGCATCCGTGCAACGTTGCGTATTCAGAGATTGTTTTATATTTCTATATCCTGTTATCGTATCAATTTTGATGTCTATGAACTTGGAATATTAAAATATGGAATTGTGGATATTGAGTGTGTTTGTTTTAGAATATTGAAGTTGAGATTGAAACATCTTTCAATTCATGTATTATTTCATGACTATTTTCCATATTTGATGATAGACAGAGAGAGTTACGTTTCGTATATTACTGTAGGTGCAAGAGAGAGAGAGAGAGAGAGAGACAGAAAGAGACAATCGATGCAATTTTCTCTAGATAAGATACATATCTATCTTATTTCTCATACCATAAGCCACAGTAATTACTGTGAAATAGTGAAAAGACATTGCTCATAAACCATTNTGCTAATTTTCTTTTCTCTAATTGAAAGCCATAAATTGAAACAAGCTTTTACATCGAATATTCGTTTTGAGAATTTCGCGACATTTGAGTTAGTTTACAGGATTAGTCTTGTCTACGTTTTATTATCGGATTTTTACTATGTAGGGTTTTACAAAAACCGCGACACGTGTTTCGCTATACAATAGTTTTCTCAAGCGAAAAATAAAAGTTACTTCTTAATTACTAAACACGCTTACCGGTGATCGACGCCGATCCAAAATCGGCCGATATTTTATTGGTAGCAGGTGCTTGCACACTCACTTTCACCGAGCATTCGAGACTGGAATGGTCGGTAAAAAACCGGTGAGTATGCAAGAATGTATTTAGTAATGTACGCCACTACTTCCCGGTACTGCTGACAGTGGCAGTGGACGGCTGCTCACCGGTATTTTACCGGCGACGATCACCGGTCGGCGTGTGTGCAAGGTCCCGTTCCCACATGTGGTTCACTATTAGAATTTGGACGACCGGTACAAAGTCGGCCGTCCAAAATCGGTGTGTGTGCAACTAGCGTAACGCTCTCGTAAAGCATTCATAGCTTTACCATAATATACGCGTTTGTCGGGAATTATACTTCTCTTTTTTAATTGCAGAAACGTAATTGTTTAGAGTAACGTTGACTCTATACATCAAAGCAGTTGCAACAGTTGTTTACATTAACTTTGCGGGTCAAATATAGAGCAACTTCAGTCAACAATAACTACGAACTAAAAGCAGGATGTAGCGGGTGAACTAATATTTAAATATTCATTCACCCGGATGGGTAGTCAGAGGGTGTATTTTTGTATTGAAGGAACAAGAAATATTGTTTTTTTTCCAAATAGTATCAGAGGTCTCAAGAATCGCTCCGGTTATTACGAGAAAATACATTTCTTTGCCTTTTCGTAGTCCAACAGGTGTGATTGATACAGTCAAACTCCAGTATTTTTTCAATCAAATTTGTACTGTTTTCTACTTGCCATGCGAAAGTAAGATATTTTCGAAGTATCGGAAGGAACTGATACGGTTCCCGAGCAGTTGAATAGTCGGAAGAATATAAGAATGCACGTTAAGTTGTTGAAGATACCAGGGGTTTATTCGACCCTCCATCGCAACCCCCAAGAGTTGATTGAGTCTCACACCTCCAAATAAATCTAGCTTCTTAACCAAACCGATTAGTTTGTATGGTGAGTGAGCAAAGATTGGCACTTTAATACATATGTCAAGAAAATACCGGGAATGAATATTGATTGAGATATGGAGCCA